CATACGAAGCTGTGCCCCGTCATTAAGACTGATCACTCCCCATTCCAGGAGCCCCAGTGCTCCCAGATGCTCTATCACACCTTGTCTAAGAAGAGGAGGGGACTTTGGATCTCAGCCTTAAGGATAAACAGCTCACTGAGCAGACAGGGGGTCAATGGATGCAGGGGAGGATGCGCCGGGCAGAGCAAAACCATGGTGAAAGCCTCGAGATGCAAAAGTGCGTGTGTTCGCAAATAGAGCCAGGCGGGAGCTGGTCGGTTTTACTGAGATGCTTGTTGCTATGGGAACTTCCCTGCACGTCATCGGTTCAGCGTCTTCAAAAACCGTACCTCAGGCGCCACCTGGTGGCAGCCTCTGACACTAATAGGGCCCAAACAGCCAGCTGGAGTAAAAAACTGCCCACACCCCTCTTCCCTGAACTGTTTCTTCCTGTCTCTTTCCGCTGGAAATGGACTTGCTGTGAAAGTAATAGAACAACAATCAAGGAACATTTTTTTAATTTAAAGATTACATTTGTTTCCAGTTATCAAAACAGTGCATACTTATGGTAAATAATTTGGAAAATACAGAAAAGAATAAAGAAGAAAAAAAAGTCACCCTTAATTCCATCCCCTAGAATAACTACTACTCATATATTGGCATATTCGAACCCATTGTTTTTTATCTGCATGTAATTTTCACATAGGTGAGGATTAGTATATATATATATATATATATATATATATATATTTATGTAGACATGGACTCAGCTATGTTTAAACATGTTGCATATTTTTGTGAACAAAGCCTTGGTGTGGGAGTTAGTGTGAGTGTTGGGAGCTAGGTACCAGCGTCAGACCACCCTGACTTTAAATTCTGCTTTTGCTTTGACTAGCCGTGTGACTTGGGCAAGTGACTTCTCTGAGTAGCACCTTCCTTCACCAACTGTAAAATGTGATTAATAATTATTGGAACTTATCCCAGGGCTGTTCAGAAGATGAAAAGACATAACATATACAAAATGCTCAGTACAGTGCCTGGGACAGAGAGGTTCCTCACTGACAGTAGATTGCAATGTAAAGCTTAGTCTGCCTTCCTGATTCATAGCAGAAATCTCTAGAAATGGGATAAATTTTTGGGGCTCAAGGATAGGAAGAGCCTCAAAGTTGATACAGTTTGCCAAAATTGAGAGGAAAATTTCACCAAGACCTCATGTCTCCAGCACCACAGCTCTTCTCATGTGTCTCTATATTCTTCTAGGCCCTGTTTACACAGAACAATTTTCAGCATTGTGATTAAGTGCTTGCAGCAGTTGGCTTAATGTTACATCATCAACATCCTAAGTGGCGAAAGCTGTCATTGACTTTTGGAATAATTTGCTTAACTATTAACTTATTGTTGAATATCTGAGCAGTTTAATTTTTCATTCATTCATCCACAAAATAGTTATTGAATGCCTACTCTCTGCCAGCCACTGAACTAGGCATTGGATATGGTGGTCACCAAGAAGTGTACAGTCTTTACTTCTGGCGCTTGGACTCTGGCCAGCGAGACAGACCATTACAAGTAAACAAACAAGTAAAACTCTATAAGCTGTGGCAAGTGCTGCGAAGGAAAAGCTGAGAACTACTGGAGAGACCTAGGGTTTTTTTTATACATTTATGTATTTTTTTGAAGTAGTCCGAGTCCCTAGTTCTAACCTGCTTTTGCTCTTCAACAGTCATAACTGAAGCTTCTCTTTGGGGAGTCCCATATGGGGTTGCATTTTCCACTAACCTGTTTTAGAGTTTCCTGACAAGTGAGCGCTCACTGTGGCATTAAAGACCCAACAGTGAGCTCCAGTGGGGCTTGTTTCCTGTTTTCCCTCCCTCTAAGGCTTGTGTTTCAACCAGTCCAGTCTGCTCCCTCACTCCCTGAAGAGGCTTATGATGATCTTCTTCTTAAATCTACTTGTACTGAGACTTTTCCTGACCTCCCTTCTCAATGCAGACCTCCATTAGCCCCAGGAGCCTTTGAATCAATCGGCAATGGTGCCTCTTTCTGGTGGACAAAGCCTCGATGGGTGAGGCATGGTGGACAGAGCGTAAGTTGGATTTCCACCCCTGTGAGGCGCTGTGGTTCACCTGTATGATTATTTATGGCAGCCCCATCCACAGCCTCTGGACCACCCCACCTACTTTCTATCTACCTGATTCTCACTCCATCTTGAAGACTCAGTTTATAGTCCAGCTTTTATGTGAAGTGTCATCTAGCTTTCTAACACAGTAAATTCTCCAGTCCTTGAACTCCCAAATAATTTTTTTTAACTCTTTGCCTCATTTGGCACTTAATTGTATACTGCCTTACGATTTCTCTTGTTTTCCTCTTATGTTATAATTTCATCTGAAAGGTCTGATTTGGATTGAGAGATCAGAGGCATATCTGTAGATGTGTCATTTACACTGAACGCTGAAGGAGAAGTAGGCAGAGATTTAGAGAAAGAGTGTGCTAGGTAGATAGGTAGAGGAAAGGGCACATGCAAAGGCCCTGAGGCAGAAGATTTTTGCGATGTAAGACCAAAATGAATATCTCTACATGGAATGGCCTTTCCAGATTTGACAAATGAAGTGGAAAACAACTTACTAAGTAATGCTTTAATACTACTTTATGAGGGTGTCATTGTTCACGCCCCTGGAAACAGGGATATGGAGATTAATCAAACCAGACATGTTTCTTCCCAGACTAATGGAGGAGGCTAAGGTGATTTCTGTACAGACAGACCATGGTGGAAGGTTATGATGTATGTCAGTAGAAGGGTAGAGAGGGTAACTATTTCTGCCTGGGCAATGAGGAAATCTTGTCCAAGGAGACATTAAGTGAGGTTTGATGTAGGAGTTTTCCAGGCAGAGACACAAAGGAAGAAGTTCAGACTGAGTGTTCAAAGGCATGGAGGCACGGAGAGGAGGGTGGTTTCACAGAATGGTAATCAGAAAGGGTCTCTTAGCACAATTCATTGTGCTTGGAATTTATCTGTAGATGGTGGGAAGCCAGAGGAGGTTTCTAAGCCGGAGAGTGGCAGGTCTGGCTGCAGGATGGACAATGGATAGGGGTGTGGTGGAGACTGGAGGCAGGGAGAGCCATGAAGAGGCTTGTGCAATGGCTCAGGCTAAAGCCTTGTGTTTCAACCAGTCCAGTATGCTCCCCGGATGGATAAGAGAGGAGGAATGGGCGAGAGACTTCAGTGTAAAATCTATAAGGCTTGAAGGTGGATTGGTTTTAGAAGGCCAGGGAGAGGATAAGTTAAGATGTTACAACTTTCAATCATAGATGACTGAATGAAGGTGGTGTCCCTTAAGGAGACCAGAGATGCCAGGAGGGGAGACAGGATTTGAAGGGTAGTTTGGTGGAGAGAGATTGGGGGGCAGTAAGGGCTTCTTATTGGTACCATGGACAGCTCCTAGGATCTTCAGAGGCCTTGGAATAGAACAAGTAGATTAATGATTTTTGACTCACTGTCTTAAAATCAGCAGAGGAGCTAATTTAACTTGGAGACTCCCTAGATGCTCTGTACCAAAGTCTCTAGGGTTGGGATTCAGGGGCTGCATTCTAAATAAGCACCTCAGGTAACTCAGGTACAGCCGATCAGATGACTATACTTAAACACTGAAATAAAGCTGTGGTGGGCTCCAGAGGAAGAGATGAGAGCGCCCTCTGCTGCTGGAAAGGAGGTTTGGATCTCTTGAGTTTATGACTTGTGCATTTCAGGCAGTTCATTTACACAGGTGAAATCCTGGGCCAAAACAAAGGTACAAGATATTTGAAACGATGAATGAGGAGGAGGGGCCATCTTACTTGATAACTTCTGTGTTCCTTTCACCCTATAGTGCAGTGTGTGGCCAAGTTCACCTGTATGCAGTTATGGTCACTGTCTTCAGTCTGGGATTCTCTTACACCTTCCCAACCCCATTCCCTTAAGAAAACCACATGTGGCTCCCCAAGGTGAGGTTCGATTGGCTTTAAAAACATATGGCAACCCCAAATAATTGCAAGCAGAGACTTTGAAAAGGTACTTGTGCACCCATGTTCATAGCAGCATTATTCGCAATAGCTAATGGGTGAAAACCACCCAAAGGCCCATTGAGGGATGGATGAAGACAATGTGGTGAATACATACAACGGAACATTATTCAGCTTTAGAAAGGAATGAAATTCTGAAATATGCTACAACATGGATGAACAGTGAAGGTATTATGCTGAGTAAAATAAGCTAGACACCAAGGGACAAATAGTGTATGATTCCACTTATATAAGGTACCTAGAGCAGTACATTCAAAGAAAGTAGAATGGTGGTTGCCAGGAGCTGAGGGGAGGGAGAATAGGGAGTTATGGTTTAATGGCTATAGTTTCAATTTGAGAAGATGAAAAAGTTCTGGAAATGGATGCTGGTGATGGTTGTCGCACAACAATGTGAATGTACTTAATGCCATTGAACTATACACCTTAAAATGGTAACTTTCATGTTATGTTTGTCTTAGCACAATAAAAAAACGACATACTAAGAAAGGCAGTGGTTAATGTCCTCAACTTGACTGGGAATCTGTAAGGCTTCTCCATGGCTTCCCCGTCCCAAAGGGAGCTCTCTGAGAACAGGGAAAGGTATGTCTTCTCTCAGGATGGGGGCCCTCCCAGGAGCAGTAGGTGTTTCTTCAATGGATAGCTGCTCCGAGAGGGCCTGGACTTGTCACGTCCATTGTCAGACTGAGGTGCTTCCTGATGGTGGAGTTCCTTAGAATGGGTGAGGTTGTGCCTCCTGCTTCAGACTGGGAATTATCCCAGAGAGTGGGTATTGGGGTGGGGGACAGTGAGCTTCCTGTTTGAGAGTTTTGCTTTTCCTTCCAAGTCCCAAGGCTCAGGAGCCCCACACGTGCCCGACACCTTTCTACTCTCCATTTCACTTCCAGCCTTTCCAAGTTCTGCGCCCTTAGACATCCCGCGCATCCTCTGGGCAGGCTGGCCAAGGAGGCTCTCTGCCCTCTTCCAAGATGGCCGCCGCCGCCTCTGTGACAGACCTGGTCACGTGGGCTCCGTCGCCTATGAGGTCGCTGGGGCTTTGTAGGCGATTGTCCCTTCCGCGGCTCCGTCCCGAGGCGGTGACTGCTCTTGTCAACCGGTGCCTGAGCGATCATGGCAACGGCCTCGGGCGGAGAGCGCGTGGCAGCGGTGGCAGCGGCGGCAGCGGCGGCAGTTTGGTCGCGGACCGGGGCGGCGGAGTGGCGGCGACGGCGGTGGCAGTGGCGCCTGCACCGGCCCTGATCGCCATGCAGCGGGGAAGCTCCGAGAGAGAGCTGGCTGCCGGGTGGGAGGCGGAGGCGGCGGAGGCGGCGGCGGCAGGGGTCCGCGTGGATGCGAGCGCGGCCGTGGAGCCGGAGCGCAAGGCTGGGGAGAAGCAGGCCAAGGACCCGGCCCCCACGCAGCCCCGCGCGGCCGAGGAGGGAGACGCCCGCGTCCTCCCGCGGCCGCCGCCCACGCTGCCCACGTCCAAGCCGAAGCCGAAGCCGGCGCCTGCGCGGGGCCTCTGGCCGCACGGGAAGCCCAGGAGCAAAGGCCGAAGCTGCAAGCGGAGCTCGGGCCGCCGGTCGGAAGAGCACCGCTCTCAGCGGCCCGTCACCGTGGACAGCTCCAAGGCCAGGACCTCCCTGGACGCCCTGAAGATCAGCATTCGTCAGCTCAAGTGGAAGGAGGTGAGGCCCGGCCCCGTCGCGTGGGCACAGGGGGGTGGACGGGACGACCTCACCGGAGTCGGCCCGGCCCAGGCCAGGTCTGAGGGCTGAGCTCCAGCGGGGCGCCACGCTTGAGCTTACAACTGCTCATCCTTTAAGACCTAGCCCCCAAGTCCCTCCTTCCAAAGGCTTTCAGACTCTTCTAAGTCAGGTTAGCCCCTACAGCGCTGTGGTCTGCAACCCTCAGCACCTGCCTCCCCACATTGTATATTTGTTTACATGTCTGTTTCCACTAGTTTTTGCATCCGGGAGGCCTGGGACCCTCTCACTTTCCCTTCATTTAAGTTCTGTTTGTTTTAGCGCTTACTGTGCGACTCTTGGGCAGTGTAACAGTTTGTACTTTGGAGGCAAAATAGACTTAGGGTCTCACTGTATTCTGTCGCTTAGCCATGTGACCTTGAGCAAGTTGCTTTGCCTCTGAAACCTATTCCCTCCTCTGTAAAGTGAGGCTAATGATACCTTTCTTATCGTTTTGTTAGTATTAGAAGACTCACTGCTTATTGTAGCATAGCACAAGCGTGCAATAAATACCACCCTCTCCTTACCACACTCTCCTCTCCGTCTTGCTCCATCACCATCATGATCATCGCCATCACAGTCACCATCATCATCACCATCACCAAATACAGGCACTGTATTTTATGTTCCAGGACTTGGCATATAGTAGGTGTCGCTAAG